GTTTCTCAAGAACATCGTAAAACATGTCATCCTTCATATCAGCCATCCCCTGCATTATTAGTAGCTTGTTTCGAAAGTAGTTGCAACTCCTCCTCATTATCTACTTTTAATATGAAATAGTCTACATGATATGAAATAGTTGCGTTTAGCAAGAAACGCCGACCACTACATAACAATGTCTATATTCTTTTAATTTTCTAAGTGTCTTTCACCATAAAAATCGAAATATACCTCGATCTCCTGGTCGTACCCTAAGCTGCAGGAAAAGCTTGTTTGGCATTTGCTATTACTCCTCCAGCATGCAGTCAGAATCTGTTCAATAGTGGGGGAAGCGGTTGTGTTAGACTAGGTCCCATATGCAGAGTCATTTAAGGAAGCACAGCCAGCAACCTTTATTGAGGCATCAAACACAGGACAGATCTTTGTGGTTGTACTTAAATGAGGTAAATAATGAATGGTACGTACTTGATAGCCTCTACTTCTTCTATTATGCCTTCTTTCTCCCACTGAAAAAAAAAAAATCATAATATTTGTCAAAGATATCTTCTCTTCATAATCGCTTAGCGACAGACTGCAGCCTTGTTTCAGTTATGTTATAGTTACTTTTCAGAGGAGGATGCTCTACTATCCAAGGTAATTGCACCTGATAGCGGCCCACCAACGGCCGAGTGGTAAAGTCGCTGAACACTGGTAGTTTGGTCCGAGGTTCGAATCCCACGAACGGGCTGGCTGCATGGGTGTTTTCGTGGTTTTCCCCATGTGTAACGTGTATACGAGCCAGTTTCCCTTAGAAAGTCCTCCACGAAGGCATCCCTCCCCTTAGGCAGATAGCCTTAGTGTGCTTTGCCATAATTAAATACACCAACACAAACAGCACCTGATAGCGACTGTCACTGTCAACAGTTAAAGTTTCCTTGAAACGAATTGATCTCATCTTCTCCTTTTGCTTTTCTGTTCAATTGGATCATAGATGCCTATAGTTTCTAACTCCCACATCTCTTTCAGCTGAAAGTATTCTAGTCAGAGCGTGGTGTTGTTAACTACTTTTCTTTTCTTCCCAAGAGCTAGAATGGAACAGCCAAGCAACGTCTCTATAGCTGAAACTCCCAATGATAATAGTAAAATTCTGCCTGTTAAAATATTCCCTAAAATATCTGTGCCAAGGAGAACCTGTATTGTTGGCGTATTATTGTCAATGCCTGTAAGTATTATTTCACGAGGTTTAAGTTCCAAAATAAGAAGGCCACAAATTCTAGATAGCGTGATACAAATTTTGGGCTGGTCCAAAAAAGAAATTACTTCTGTACCCATAGGAAAAAGCTTCAGTTCCCTTATTAAATCCTTTTCGATGTATGATCGATGTGAGGCAACATCCAGCAGAGAACATATCGCAACTTGGCTTCCTTTATGGCAAACTTTTATCAAGACTGGCTTTAAATAGATTTCCCATAAAGAAGATTTTCCAGTAAACAATGTAGTGCACTTACATTCTGTAAAATCTGCATAAAAAGTGGATTCATTAGACCCTTTCTTCCAATTTCGATTAAGCAGAATGTAATGTCATCCTCCACATATTACTTTTTTTTTTTTTTTTTTTTTTTTTTTTTCAATGTGTTCTAGCTTAAGACAAACTATTAATATCTTTTGTGTATAACTTGAGATTTCCTCTAGCCTAGAGTCATCATTTTAGCTTTCCTGTCTTTAATAAAATGAGAACGGTCATAAAAAAACACCTTTAACCTTTTCATGTGTGGACAAAACTAAAAGCTGAAGCAGCAGAGATGTTATTTCTTAAAGTGTCAACTTCCTTTTAAACTCAGAGTTCTGAAATCCGATCAAGTCAAATTTATCATTTCCTCACCATTAACTTCCTGTCTTAAAAATTTCATGAACTTCTCATGGGCTCCTTGGCTGTTTTTAGCAAACCACATTGCTACCACCTCTTACAGTATTTTTCATTACTATTGTGAGTAATTCACATACATAAACTTGTATTAATAAATATACAGAGGAGGGAACTCTCTTTTAAACTGGCAGCTAAAGATCCAGAAGAAATTGCCTGAACCACGCACTGGAACTTATCATCAGCCGGCATCTCTTCATCCTTATGAATTCTGGAAACTGACTCGAAAATCCCAAAAAGGATTTAATATATCCATTAAATCTCTGAATTTCCGATTTTGCCAACCAATATGTTTGACTACATAATGAGTGAATTTATCTATCATCAGAATTTCTTTCAAAATTTTCAACCTTTACCTTTAAATAATTACCTTTACCTTTAAAATAGTACTGCTCACTATAATTTCTATTCAGCTTCGTGGAAATCCATAACATACTACTTTGCTTGTTTTTCATCGCCCTCACCAAGAAATTATTCAGAAATTACACACTGACTATTTTCCAAGTACTGGAATTTATCATGTAACTGTGAATTCAATTTGTGAAGTCTGGAAACATTGACTTCCTAATTTCTTCAGCAATAGCTTTTGCCTTTGTAAATATTGTATGTAAAGTTTTAGATTGTAACTTTAAAGTATCCATTGTAAAATATCAAAGCTCATGAGAAAATAAGAGAACAGATATTTAATGTTTAAATTCAAATCGTACTTTGTTTATTTCATAGTTATTCCAATTTCTATCGTGGAAGCCAATTTGTTGTGACTCCTCAAGAGAAGGAACACAGAAGCTTCTTATAGTCATAAACTAAATATTTTATTTCATGCTAAAACACTTTCACAAACTTAAAACTATAAAAGCAGTGGGGCTTTTATAGTTTGGGCCAACTCCCATTAAGATTTGGTGCAACTATTGTTTCCTTAGGTGATGTGCATTTTTTTTTAATGGAAAATAGGACATTTTCAACTATTCTACAATATTTGAAGGTTCTGGTAGGAAAAAATAAATAAATAAAGTGTATAGTTTTCATTTTACTACAAAGCTCCATTAAGAAAATAAGCTGTACGTATTGAAGGATGAAGTTTAAAAAAAAGGGGGTATGCGGCTAAAGAAAGAAAGAGGACTTTAAAGTTGCAATTGGCAAGTAGATACACATTAGCAAGTTACAGCAAAACCAAGACATTACAAATTTTCTTTAAAAGACATTACATATAATCATCAGAAACACAAATGATACACCTATCAGTAAGTTTGATATCAAAATTGTGTATACTTAACAAAAATCAAGCTGAGTTTTTTCTGTTTGTGTCAGACGTTACTTTTATTTTATCACAGATATTTTTCATTTATATCAGAAAATCAAATGACATAAAAATCATGTCAATATTTAATTTTGAAGGTTACTCTTAAACTAAATCACAATTAAGGACTTGATAAAATTTCTTTCAGAGGCTTACAGAGTTTGGACAGCCTTCTTAAAAGAAAGGACCCATGTTAAAGTAATCTTTTTCTGTAATACAGACATTATGAGGTTCAGACTTCATCTGTTACCTTGGAGCTGCCAAAAGTAATACTAAGCTAAATGTGCCAAACTTCCATCTTCAGCACTTTAAAATGTTATCACCCCTTATCTAATTGATTTCTTTGAATGTATTTTTTATAAATGTCAATTAAAATAAAATACAAAAGAAAAATGCAATAAAATTATTATCAATACAATATAAGCCAATTTAAAAATGGATTTATATAATTATGCAACAGCAATGAAAAAACATAATGGTATCAAAAGTTTTATGAAAGGAAACAGATTCAAGTACTCCCTTCAGATTACAAGATTAGATATAGAAAATATTATAGGATTCAAATATGATCCAAGTGAAATGGTTAAAAACTTGTAAAGCACGTGTTATTCGAAATATCCCCACCTTGCACTGAGATGTAATTTTTTTTTTTTTTTTTTTTTTTTTTTTTTTAAGCATTCTAGAAGCTGTGTTATCTCTTCTTCAAAGAAGGCATTGACAATTAGCTGCATATGCATTCTCAAACTGTTATAATGATACTGGGGAAGAGTACAACTAAACATTGGTAGTAGAATGCCTTGCCTGTATATAATGACAAACATCATATTGTTGGTGAAGACCAACCACAACTTGGGAACTTGAGATTACTTCACCACTAAAAACTTATATATACATATTTCATACAGCAAAGCACTTTCTGTACACCCATTACTCTCAGAAACAATGTACATGATTGAGCTCCTACTCTTCTATAGGTAAAATATGACAGATAGAACAGCCAAGATAATTTATTGCCTCCTAAGAATTTTTGTGCAAAAGTAAAATCTAACCATTTGGGTCATATTTAAATGTACTCAAATTACACTAAGTTATAAAAAAGTATTTTATAAATGAATACTATTAAAATATATTACAACTTTGTAAAAATTAATAACAAAACTACAAACTGAAGTCAACATTTTAGAAATTTTTTTTAAAAATTAGACTTTTCATTAAATTGCACACAGAAGTATCACTTTTTAATGATCATATTTGTTACTATAATAAAAATAAAATTAAAAAATAACAGATTATTCTTTTACATGCTATATGAAGTATAATCAATGTTCTTTGAAACCTGAATTTTTACTACGTAATCAATATTGAGTAATCCAAGTATAAATGGAATAAAATAGACATTTTTCTAATACATATGAATGCACAGAGTCAGATTTAAGCACAGGCAATATACATATGAAATACAGTGTCATATTTAGGGACAAGCTATATATAGGTAGCTGCCAACATGCTAAGTTTCATATGAAGCCAAATATAATAAAATGCTCATTTAAATGAGTTGTTTTCCTGATGACAATATTATATGAAATGTTCTAAAGATACCTTCTGCTTGGTGCACACAAATGCTTTTTTATATACAAAAGACCTTTTACTACAAAAATACGCCCATATAAATAGCAAATTAATTTAGAAAAATAACTCAATGATATGAAAGAGCTATACAACTCCTAAAATATATAATTTAAGTTTAACATCCAGTATTTAAAAAAATATACTACATTAGGAATCATAAAAGGTACTTACTTATACTTAGAAGATTTAACTTTGAGCACTGTGAAAATAAAATAACTATCAATAAAAATACAAATTTAGACAAATTAACAAGTATTCAGTTCATAAAGACTTGAGTAATAACACTTTTCTCAAAATTAATAATTTTTTTTATAACTAAGTTTATCATCCATCAAAATTAAATTTGAAGGGTTTCATAAATATAAAATAGCTGTTATTGTCATTATCCTAGCACTGAAAACTAACTTTAAATTTCTTGACTTTCCCTGGCCAAACTGAACTATTTCTTTGGCAAAAAATTATAAATTAATTAATGATTTTTCGCTAATATTTAAGAGACAAAATCTTAATGATCAAGATTTCTAGAAAAAAAAAATAAAAGTGCTAATTCATCATTCTATAATTTTTTAATAAATTAATTAATACAATAAAGATTAACTTTTCAAAGACTGATACTTTCTAACTATCTGCACCCCCTTGAAAAGATGCGATCCCATTGGTGACTCTGGAGAGCATTCTGGTACTCACTGAAGGTTATGAGAGTATTTGTGAACTCAGTGTTGACTAAGTAGAACACTTTTGTTTGAGTATCTTTTTTTTGCATTATTGTTCTCCCTATGTACACAGCAATCTGCTTTCACAAAAAAAAAAAAAAAAAAAAAAAAAAAAAAAAAAAAAATCAGAAAATTGTACAAAATTGACATTACGCACAACTCAGCACCTAAATTAGGACACGTGATGCCTTTAAGCGAGCTACGCTGCACTCTATGCATGCAGAAAGACTGAAAATTTTCTGAAAAGTATGAAACTTGCAATATGCAGTTCAACACTATACTAAAACACTGAAATTTTATGGGTGGGATAATAATTTGCAGTCACACTAAGAAAAATCTCGGTAGAAGTAGAAAGCCATCTGAGGGTATGCTATGCATATATTTTAGGTGCCACATAAATATTTTTGGTGACATTAGGGTTGTCATTTAAATATTTTTTTGGCAATATGGATTGTTTCATAAATACTTTGTAGGGTTTATATTTAACTAACATTTATTTTAAGTTTAAACTATCTTTCCTGTCAAGCCTTACTTTCCCCTGGAACTGCCAATGCCAGAGTATGTAAATTTTTAGTAGAACGCGCAAGGATTCAAATTATCAGCGGAAGTATTCTGAGTTAAATAGAAAGGAAACGAGTTCGAAGTGTGCTTTTCTTACTTCACGAGCGCAGAGGTAGTTAGTCAGAAATTGAAGAACCACGCGTTTCGGCCTGTGTGCTTGCCTCAGCAAATTGTTAATCTTTCAACGTAATCTTCAGAGTTTGCTGAATTATCAGCGGTACTTTAGAATGCGGTGAGGTTAGTTACCTTTAGAGAGCCTCGTAGTTAGTCTCTTGTTATTATCTCCTTTTAGTTTCTTATTTTTATTTTACCGCCGGGTCGGCGTAGTTTGTGAGCGTCAAGAGCATGCATTTGTAATTTCTAAAGTTGAATAAAAAGGGACTTAACCCTTCTCAAGACTCTGTCTAATTTCCAGTTTCAGCAGTCACCACTTTGTTGCGTGCAGGTTGGAGGCGCGCAACTTTACAACTTTTTCAAGGCTTTTCAGTGCGAATGCGGATAATTAGAAAGCACCAAAAGATTTTCTGCCATGCTATCCAACCACACCATTACTACAGTCTATTCCCAATTTAAAACCACATTTATTCTAAGAGAGGTTTAAAAAAACTTAAGAAAGAAAAATAACCCATACAACCATAAACAGAAAAATACTATTAACAATTTACTTGCATTTTCAAGCAGTTTAATCTGCAGAATAAATACACTTGGTTGCACATATTAAATCAGTATCCAAAACAAAAAGGTACTTTTATTACTATTTTTCTTTTGTATTTTGATAGAAGTCAATGAGAAAGAGGCAGTTAATGGCAGTACATTTGATTTAGTTTTAGAATACAGCAATTTACTTTTGCAGATGACTTAGCATTTATTCATTTCAGATTACCTGCAATTAAATTATGCAGCACTGCTGTTAAAAATATCACGGACTATCAAATAATCTATCATCACTACTATCATTAGATATATTTTTATTTTCCCTTTTAATATTTTCCATAGATAGAAAAGGTGTGTTATGGTTTCTACTGAAGAGGCTTAGGTAATAAGAAAAATCATAATTTTTTCTAAGATGACTCCACATAGATGGTGGTAAAGGTCATCTTAAAGTGAAATTCAGCACTAGTGTTCATTTATGTTCTCGACAAAACTGATCACTTTCAGAAGTGGTCATCTAAGAGAGGTAGTCATCATGACAGAGTTTATTGCATTTTGAATACAAAGACTATTGATGTAATTTGGAGACTGATGTGAACAATAATGGTTAATATGTTCTGATAAATTTATAAAAATCAGACAAACAGAGGAAGTCAGAGCGATCACATCATAACAAACGAATATTTTTTTTTTTCTTTTAAATATGATGGATAACATAATAAACAATTAGTTTAAAACATTTTATCTCAAGGTACAAAGACAGCAAAACAGATAACTTCCTAGTTTCATTATTAATCATTTTGAAGTTATATAATATATATATGGAATGAAGGGTTTAATGTTTTATGCTTACACAAATGAGAACATGGAGATTAGATCTACCTTTTATCATCACTTTAAAAATCTTTTAAGTATATATTATCCCCGAGAATATGACAGACAAGCAATCAAGACCATAGGGTTGTAACACTAGCAGCTGTGAGCATATTGTCAAAAAAATAGCTTCAGAGGTTGCTTGCACACGCTTCGTAATGATCTCCTGTGTGAGGACTACTTTTTTGCATGGCTTCACTCTCCATAATTTAAACTTGGAATTACAGCATCCATTATATTTTACTTCAAATTCTTTCATGTACCATAAGAATGCTGTTATGAAGGCAAACTGAAGTATAGCACTAAAAGTTAAAATTAATTTTGCTTATCAGAGAAAAAGTAATTTTAGACAAAATTTACATTTCTTACAAACAGGAGTAAACAGTAAGTGTACGGCAGTTACGCGGACAGGTGAAAGCAAGCTATTTTTTCCTGCCATACAATCAACATAATTCAAGCTCCTACCTTTCGCACAAAAACCAGTACTATCCAAAACCAGTATATATACATAGGTATAAACCAGTATATAAACATTTACAGTGATATCCAATCAGTATTAAAAACGTAGTCATTTAGTACTTATGTGTAAAAAAAATTTTATACTTTGTTACAATATATTTTACAACATGCTGCTTAAACACTGTCATAAAGCCCCAAAGCAAAAAAAAAAAAAAAAGAAGAGGTTCTCATTTTCCTTACAGCTGTTAGCAGGATCATTATTTTATTTTCAAGGTAAAGTTTGATGGAGGACGAAATATGTCGAAAGAAATTCATGGTGTCAGCGCAACTTTTATTTTCGCAGTTTAAAAGATTAATTCAATATGTGCAAATCTATAATAATTACTTTCTTCCGCAGCATTCTATCCGAATGATTTGTAATACTCATTTATAAGACAGATCTGCTATTTGACGAATATGCATTCAATTTTATCTTCTTCTTGGTATTACTAGATTAAATAACACAATTAAACTTTTCCTTGAAATTATTAATTTTATTTTCTAAATGTTTTGCAGTACTAACTACAGTCAAAAGTCGTTAATCCGGACTCGTCGGGACTTCGGCGATTCCGGATTATCGATCATCACTTTAAATCTGGTAAAATGGCATACAGAAATTATAAAATTAAAAATATGAAACCGTAATTTACGAAATAATGAACAATTATGATCTAAAGGGTATCAAAATTTACAAAAAAAAAAAAGCTTAATATTTATTTGTTTACTTTATTAAACATTTCTTTCAATGTAAGTTGTTTAAGTTGCTTCGTTTTTTATGTGATAATACATTCTCCTCTATAAACATTCTATACATAATTCTATAAACAGACATAATTTCTTGTTCAGTTACAAAGTTCCGCTGTTCCAGTCCTATAATTGCTGTGTCGAGAATACGGACTAATTTGTCAATCGAAATTTTTTCGTTTTCAATAACCTCTGTCACTTTCTTCGCTATCGGAAGCGAATTATAATGACGAGGCATTTGATTTAAATCATATCAAAGACGAGATGAAATACTACATTGAGTAAGCAATTATAAGCCAAATAAAATAAAAACATCTGCCCTTAAGATAAGGATAGTGCTGACGGATCAACTTCCAATTCATTGCACGCCGCCGCGGCGTTAAAGATAAACAAAGTTTAGTTAAACAAACGTTAAAGTTTAGTTAAACAAACGTTAAAGTTTAGATAAACAAACGTTAAAGTTTAGATAAACAAAAGATATACCTTTATCCATTTTTTGCAGTAATTCCACTTTTTGTTTAATGGACTCCGAAAGATACTTTCGCTTTGTATATCCTTTACATATTAGTAAATATATATCGGAAATTCTATTTGACATAATCGAAAGTTCAAGCTTACTTTTATAAAATTGCTCTAACAGTCTGCAAAAAATAATAATGCGGATCCAATTCGAAGATTAAGGAACAACGCAATCTGCAACATTAACTGAAATAGATAATTAGATAATTTTAGCTTAGCTTATCCAGTCCGTTATACATTAAACGCGCATTCGTAAACGTATTTTGCGCACGCGCACACGCAAATTCGCAGCGGTAAAGGTCTTACGCGCATGCGTCAACGCGACACATGCGCAGAAAGTTTGTAGATTTGAGGTCCGGATTATGGGTGTCCGAATTAACGACTTTTGACTGTATTAATGTTATTGAAATTCCCAGCCACAGTAAAAGGCCTACCAAACCACTGAATATTGGTATTAAGCCAAGGTTAAAATCCCAGAGAATGGGGTGGCTACCTTGTCATTTTTGTATTTTTATGTATAAGTTTCTAAGGGCAACTAGCTCAAATACGAGCTACTTGCCCTTAGAAAATCCTCCTCGTAGATGTCCTTTTCCTTAGACAAAATAGACATTGTATGCTATGTCAGGTACACCAAAAACTC